AGTGCAGGGAGCTGCAGGGCCCCTGGGTTCGAGTTGTTTGTCGGCTGCTCTCACGCGCAGCTCAAAGGGATAGAGGAATGACTGGGGGGGAACCCGCCTGGTGCCCTGGGATTTACAGAGCAGTCCCATAGAAGCCTGTTCTCTTTTCTTGGGGCCTGCCCATAATCTGTAGGGGGGTGCTGCCTCTAGCGTCTTATTTCTCTTCAGGAGATTGGCGGTACAGATGGGCAGCAGCTTTCAGCTATAAGTGACTCTTCTTTAAAATGTGGTTTCTAAGAGTTTATTAGAATTGAAGGCAGCTTGACCTTTGGAAAATGAAGGCACTGTAGTTGCATTGCATAGATCAAAATCACTAGGCCTGGTGGCACCTTTAAGTCTAAAAATTTGTTAGGGTGCATAAGCTTTTGTAGGTTGTAGCCCTCATAAATTTGTTAATCTTAATAAGATGCCACAAGACTCATTGTTATTGCTGAGACAAACTAACATGGCTACCTCTGAAACTTATCCTACATAAAACAGGTTTGCCCATAATTGTTTATTATAGGGCTTGCATGTTCCTTGGGCATGTAGAATTTGCCATTCCAGTATGGATACCAGATTGGTCTGCCCATTAGCCTGAGTTGGCCTTCTCATATCGATGTACGTCATCTTGGCCCTTAGATCTTAGGGTGTGTGCGCAGGGCTGGCAGTTAAGAATACTTTTTTTTGGTAGCTAATTGCATTTAATTTAAAAGTGACTCCAACATAGTTGGACCCCATGGAGCAAGCAGTTCCTGTTGCATTACTTCTCAGAGTAGAATCACATTTTGCAATTTTCTAAGAATTCTCATGTATGTCCATTCCTATGCATGTGAGGAAAGGTTTTCTTTGGCCTGCCCTAACAAAATGTTTGTGACATTTTAAACTCCAAATATAGAAGAGCTGGTGTGGAGGACAGGAATTTGTAGAAAGCAAGACATACTGGCATGGCTGTGTAATGTGCCTCCCCCCATAGGGAACAACAAATACAGCAACTGGCATACCATTGGCAAGTTAGCCACACGAACGTTAATATTAAAAGTATGTTCTTTATTTGTAGTCGCACCGGAAGTTCTCAGCTCCCAGACATGGATCCCTTGGCTTTCTGCCCCGCAAACGCAGCCGTCGACATCGGGGCAAGGTGAAGAGCTTTCCCAAGGATGACCCAAGCAAACCTATCCACCTCACTGCCTTTCTTGGGTACAAGGCTGGCATGACCCACATCGTTCGGGAAGTGGACAGACCTGGATCCAGTATGTATTTCTTTGCTGCTCTTGTTTTAGGAGATCACTGTACAATTTTTTTTCCTACACTGAGGCAGTGGGAGGGGACTGTCAGGTTCAAATGGATCCCTTGGTGGTTGGTGTCTTAATTTTATGTAACTGCTGTTCTTGGAAGGAGTCAAGTGTCTTGCAGGGATGGTAATACTGTGCTGTAGCAGGCTACTTATGATGATTTTTTCTCGACGGGCGGACATAAAGAAATCGCCTCTGGCGCTTTTTGATGACTGTCGAGTCCTGAATGTAGTTCTGTTATCAGCCACCACCCAGTTTGGTTATGAAATGGAAATCATACCAAAAGGCCAGCCATGCCTACCTTGGGTTTTACTATAGCACCTTTATATGTTTGGCATGTTTCATAGCTCTGGTGGCTAATTGGGGCCCTTGGAGCTCACTGATTTTTGCTGTGTGAAAACCTTTTAGGGCAGGGGTGGGGAATCTTTTTGGGTCACGGGGCCCTGGGAGCTCACTGATTTTTGCTATGTGAAAACCTTTTAGGGCAGGGGAGGGGAATCTTTTTGGGTCAGGGATTGCTGACCTACAGAATAATCAGTCGGGGGCTGCACACATGTGAGAAGGGGGGACCCCAAACCCTCACTTGAAAAGGAGGAAGACACTCCTTGCATTCCTCTTCATGGACCCCAAACCCTCACTTGAGAAAGAGGAATGCAAGGAGTGTCTTCCTCCTCATAGTGCGTGGGGGCGCTCTGGCTAGTAGATTGTGCTTTCCAGCTCTCATAGAGCGTGGGGGGGCTCTGGCTAGTAGATTGTGCTTTCCAGCTCTGCGGTGGGATGGCAGGGAGGCTGGAGTGCCAGTATGGGCTCCCCAAATGCTCTGAGCCTTGGGGGCTGACTCAGGCCTGAGGTTCCCCACACCTGTTTTGGGGGGGGGCATCAGGCCTGAGGTTCCCCACCCCTGTTTTGGGGGGGGGCACTGGACACACCTGACATTTTGGGGGGGGTTCATCCGCTGTAGTGCTAACTGGCACGATGTGATTTTTTCCTTTCCCAGAGGTGAACAAGAAGGAAGTGGTAGAGGCAGTCACTGTAGTAGACACTCCTCCCATGGTCATTGTGGGCATCGTGGGCTACGTGCAGACTCCCCGTGGCCTTCGCACCTTCAAGACCATCTTTGCTGAGCACATCAGTGATGAGTGCAAGAGACGCTTCTACAAGAACTGGTAAGAAACATGGAGGAGGGACCTCACTTAATCAAGCTTCCAGAGCCTGTTTCTTGCACTGCTGGCTTTGTTGAATGAGCATAGTGGTACACTCACATCACAGCTCCAATGATTACCCTTGGGATGTAGGTGCCAGGCTGAAGTTTGTCACGTATAATGATATAAAACTGCAGCTGGCTGGAATAGTGATTGCTTAATGCTTGTCAACTGCTGTTTTATAGGGGGCCTGGAGTCAAGTTGTTACTTGTCTCTACCTGAGCATGCTATAGTTGATATTTTTTCTAGGGATGTATAAAAAGGTTGTTGCTGATTTTAAAAGAGGACTATGCTCAAGATTTCTTGGGGGGGAGGGGGAACTTTTTTCTTTTGATTCCATGCACTGCTATTATGTTTTCACAAAAGTCACAGAATAGGGTTGCAGTGTTTACCAGGTTCTCATTTGCCTATGGGATTAGGAAGGATTTCTCCTAGATGCTCTTCATGAACTTTTCACACTGCCAGGGAAAAGAGGCATCCAAATGAATGCCTGAATGGTGCTTTGGCTGGTGTCCTTAATTCAGCTGTAGGTCAGAGTTGAAAGATGGCAGACTTTATAGATATAGAAGCAATGAAAGAGCATTTATAATAGTATTTTAAGGAAGCAAATAATCAGTTGATAGGCACTGTATTGTTGCCAGAGCATTGTTCTATGACATTTTTGTGAATGTTCTGTACGGTCTATATTAATATGCTTTGGATGAATTCATGGCAGCTCCGCTCAGCTCTGGCAACTCAGCCTGTCTGATGAGCTCCAGGCTCCTCTTGCTGGTGGAAAAGATTCCTTGGAAGCTGGCAATGAGCCGAAACCAACTCAGATGGCAGCTCCTTCCGCTCACCCCCCTTTCCTTGGGGGACTGATGAAGGGCTAAGCCATACCCTCTCTGTGCTCTGCTCCTGAAGGCACAAATCCAAGAAGAAGGCCTTCACCAAGTATTGCAAGAAGTGGCAGGATGAGGAGGGCAAAAAGCAGCTAGAGAAGGATTTCAATAGCATGAAGAAGTACTGCCAGGTTATCCGGGTCATAGCTCACACTCAGGTGAGTGTTCTTTCATCTTTGTAAAGAGGGCGTGGATACAGCGAATTCACAAAGATTAGGATTGTGCTGCCATTGGCCACAGAAACTCTCTAATGCTGTTCTCAGATTCCTGTCCCCCACATCTGGTGTTCAGTGTTTATGCCTAATATTTATAGAGGCAGTGTGACCTTACTGGATAGCTCACTGGATTGGGACTTCAAAGACCTGGGTTCTCCTTCAGTTCAGCTACTAGTCTGAGTGAACCTGAGCAAGTCACTTCCCCTCTTGTTCTTGTTTCACATCTGTACATGGGGATAATGGTATTGATTTCCATTGTAAAGCACTTTGTGATTTACTGATTAAGAGCACAATATAAAAGCTAGATATGGTATTGTGCTTCAAAGCCTCATGCAAACAGCTAACAAACCCTTGCAATACCTCTAAGGGTAAGGCTCCCATCCCCATTTTATGGGTGTGTAAACTGAGTTTGGATTGTTTACAGCTACCTGGTGTGTATGCATGTTTGTGTCTCAGGGCTAACTAACATTGGGACTTGAGTTCTTGAATCCTGTCCTGTCCAGACCCCTAGACCTTATTATTGGGACTTGAGTTCTTGAACCCTGTCCTGTCCAGACCCCTAGACCTTATTTATCTGATTGTAACTACAGCTTGAAATAGGATTTAATGTTTTATACTTGTCTTGGGATCCTCTGGCCTCCTGAGAAATCTACTTTATTTCACTTGCTTTTTAAAAACAGGTCTTGGGATCCTCTGGCCTCCAGGGAAATCTCCTTTATTTCACTTGCTTTTTAAAAACAGGTGCCAACTATAGCTTCAGACCAAGAAATATGTTGGCATGGCTCTCCTGTAGAGACCATGAGTGGCCTTTATTAATCCTCTAGATTCATCTGCTCAGTGCTGAGCAATGTGAAGATTTCCCCTCCTTCCCCCAGCCTGTGTGAGTGCAAAATACTTCCAGACTAAAAACTGTAACAGGATCTCCTGTGTGGTAGTAAGTGGAGTAAGCTGTCTGGTTGCAAGACTTTACTATATTAGAGACGGTCTGTTGTGGCAAGCAGCAAAGAGGGAGGTACGTACAGCTGCTGTCAGCATTTTAATGTCAGTCATCTTTGCCTAAATATAGTATAGAAAACTGGATAAGTGATGTGACCTTGTTATCCAGTCCCAGAGGCTTTATCTTCAGACCTCTTTAAAAATCCTCGACCTGACAGCCAGCTTTAATGGTGGTATGAGGCATGTATTATTGATGCTCTGTATAAGTGCAAAGCTTCTCACTTTCACCAACAGAAGTTTTTTTTAATAAACTACCTCACCTACCATCTCTGTACTGCATCTCATTCCCTTGGTTGGTCTGACTGTGAGACTTATTTATGCCATTATACAGCCTTGATAACTCCTGCCCTTATCTCCAGAGCTTCAGTGTTCAAAGCACTGTGTATATTGGGATACAGCAGAGGTAGAAAAATACCCTTATCTCCAGAACTTCAGTGATCTAAGCACTGTGTATATTGGGATACAGCAGAGGTAGAAAAATCCATCAGACCCTGGAAGTGAACCCTTGATAGATTGCACTAGAAATCTCAGCACTTTGTTTGGGTTATAATAGCTAATGTTGGGTCTGTTTTCCAGATGCGTTTGCTCCCGCTGCGGCAGAAGAAGTCTCACCTGATGGAGATCCAAGTGAATGGCGGCACCATTGCTGAGAAAGTGGACTGGGCCCGGGAGAAGTTGGAACAACAGGTGCCTGTGTCAACTGTCTTTGGCCAAGATGAGATGATAGATGTCATTGGAGTCACCAAGGGCAAGGGATACAAAGGTAGGTGTTGTGGCTGGGGCTTTAGTGTGACTTGTACCCAGAGATTAGCGAGGAGTTTGGAGTTCCCATATACTTGGGGCTCCAGTATATGGTCAGAGAGGTATCTTCAGTGTTGCTCTCACATCAGAAGTGGGACTGTTCAGTGATGAAGCCATGGAATACGTGCTGGGCACAGCATCCGACATCCATGAGGAATTATTCCATGCTGCCTTCCTTCTGAGAACAGCACCCAGGGACCAATTTGGGAAAACACAAGCCCTATGGATGGGTCTTCTACAGAGACACCCGTGCCTAATTGGCATGCTGATCTGAATTTCTGTTGGTGTTGCACTTGGGATGTAAGCAAGTACTCGACTACCTGATGAACCTAAACTTATCGGGTAATCGAGTGGAGTACTCAGTTACTCACCCCTCACACCCCCACCACCACTCTGAATGAAAGGCAGGGGCGGGCTGGAGCCGGTGCTAGGGGGAGCCAGCTTAAAAGCCAGTTACCCCCAGCACCATCTCTGGTGTCCCCCCCCGCTGCTGTGTATTGGAAGCAGCAGTGGGGGAGGGGGATAGGGGGAGTCCCGCTGCTATGTATTGGAAGCAGCAGTGGGGGAGGGTGATAGGGGGAGGCAGCCCTGCCAAGAGCTAGCCCTGACTGCTGTGAATGGACTGCTGGGCCTGGTATGAGCCAGGACCAAGCATTCCCAGCTTGCGCCAGTCCAGGACCGCTGCATCTCTGTTTTAAGAGCCGCTGGGCTCTTACTACATTTAAAATGCAGCAGCGCAGCGGTCCCAGAGTGAGCTTTTTCTTATCGACTAATCATGTAGTTGATGCAATTTGTATTAACTAGTGAAATAACCTGTTCCTTAACATCCCGCTGTTGCACTGGATACATATTCTCCTTATGCAACGGCCACAAACTGTGTACATAGTTTTTCTTGTCCCAGGTGAATTAAACACCTCTAGTGAAAGTGCATGCCATAGCTGAGCAGTTATGACAGTCCTACAATGCTTGTAATATTTTATTTTCAGGGGTCACCAGTCGCTGGCATACCAAAAAGCTGCCTCGCAAGACCCACAGGGGTCTGCGCAAAGTAGCCTGCATTGGAGCGTGGCATCCCGCTCGTGTGGCTTTCTCTGTGGCCCGAGCTGGTCAGAAGGGGTACCACCACCGCACAGAAATCAACAAGAAGGTAAGAGTCTGAGATGTGTATTGAAGAATCCTGGACAAACTATTCATGGTTCCATCAGGTCAATGGGCACAATCAAGTAGACTGAAGCTTTCAGACTACAGCTCAGGTTTTATTTATTTGACTAGAATTGGGGGCCAGCAACCTTGCCAATGGAATATATAGACTCCAGTAACTAATCTGAATGGTCAGTGGCCTACAGTGTGGGCTCAGGCTCTGCCTAGAACCAGCACTTAAAGCTGCTTTGTATTTGTTCAGGAAAAAGCTGAATAGTCACTACAGTTCAGGTAGGAAACTCAGTTTTGTTCTCAGCTCTGTCTATATGACAGACTTTGGGCAAGTCACTAAGGATGTCTATACAGCAAAGAAAAACCTATGGATGGCCCTTTCCCAGTGACTCAGACTTTCAGGGACCTGGTCCTATTTCATTGCTGTGTTAGACCTCTGGGCTCAGGCTCTGGGACCTTCCCACCTCACAGGGTCCTGGAGCCCAGATTTTAGCCTGAACCCCAAAGTCTACACACAGCAGTGAAACAGCTCTGCAGCCTGAAGCCACAAAGTTGGATGGCACAGGCCAGATGTAAATTGTCTCTGCTACGTAGACTTTACACGTTGCCACATTGAATGGCACAGGCCAGATGTGAATTGTCTCTGCTACGTAGACTTTACACGTTTTTCTTTCCTTGTCCATAAAAATTAGGATAAGGCTACTTTATCCCATTGGCATGGAACATGCTGTGGTATTATTAAAATGGTAGGTATTGTTGCAATTAGTAACGAACAGTTGAAATCAAAAGCAATTCAGCATAATTAAACTTAAGTCTTTTTGTGAATCCGGTATGTGGCCCAAAAATATCTGTACACAGAATCTCTCAGCTTTGTTTTGTTTCTGCTAATAAGGTGCCCTAGTGTCAAGTTAAAATGTAGTGACAAGGCATTGGCTTCATAGTAGATGCAATCTTTGAGACTCTAAATTTGCTGCACTAAAGTACCAGGCACATTTTGTTTTTTACATTCCTCTGTGCCCAACAGATTTTGTACAGGGTTTATAATAGTGTTTCTGTATTGGGTTGTTTGCTGCTAACAAACCATTTCTCCCAGCACTTGTGAAATAGCATTCTCCTTTTGTCATTTAAGGTCTATAAGATTGGCCAAGGTTACCAAATCAAGGATGGAAAGCTGATAAAGAACAATGCATCAACTGACTACGATCTGTCGGACAAGAGCATTAATCCTCTAGTGAGTAGCTTTCCAGCTGTTCAAGGTGTGGTGTGTGGGAAGGGTATGAGAATTTAATCTTGGACTGGGATCTAAAAAAACCAAACAACTTATTCTAGTCTAGTCCGTAAAAAAAAGTTCACGTACTGCAGGAAATGACATTGCAGCCCAAACAACTTATTCTAGTCAGTAAAAAAAAGTTCACGTACTGCAGGAAATGACATTGCAGCCTTAGGTTGCATTTTTCTTTCTCTGTTAAGTGGACCAATATAGTAGTGTGGGTTGCTGAGCTGTGTTGCATCATTTGATTGCAACTTAATGCTGTCAACTTAGTTTTGCCTCTTAAGTTGTTTTTTTTTTTTTAATTCCTGTCTGGAGAGAGAATCAGTGGTAGCTGGGGGATTTCATTTAGGGCAAAGACTAGCCAGGTTGTAGGAAGCTGAGTAGTTAAGTATCCATAAGTCATGCTGTCTGCTTAGGGTATATGAGCCAGTGCAGTGTGCCTGGAAGAGCAATATACAGCCAGGCAGGACAAGTGGAAAGGGGCAGGAGGGAGAGCTAAGAAAAGTAGCTTGTGGCTTGTTAGGCAAACATAATCCTTTTGTTAGAGCCAATGGTACAGCAGTGTGAAAGGACTAAAATCTCTAGATACTGCTTGTGTATGCTGTGCTGTCACTGCTCCCAATGGAGCCATCCAGAAGCACAAAATTCCTGCAGCTCTGGCCACACCTTATCTCTTCCAGTCTGCCTGTGTGTCTGGAACTGCACAGAGTTGTTCCTATGCTTCCAAGCTCTCTCCCTTACACTGGAAACGTTTCTTAACAGCTGTTACATTTGTACAGCCAGCATGCATGTTGTGCAGGAACCCCAGCACTGACAATCAGAGCCACTGTTCAGTTGAGGTCAGTACTTGGCTAGTTTTGCAGTGTGCTTAATCAATCCCTCTCTACTCAGGGCGGCTTTGTCCACTATGGTGAAGTGACCAATGACTTTATCATGTTGAAAGGCTGCGTTGTTGGGACCAAGAAGAGAGTTCTAACCCTGCGCAAGGTGAACAGTGAAAGAATATTTGTTCTACCCATCTATGGGAGGGAGCCAGGTGCAAGTTATGGCACGTACCAGGGAAAGCTGGTCCTGTGCTTAGAACGGTGACAGCTCTAGTCAATTTTAATGTCTCTTCCCCACAGTCCCTGCTGGTGCAGACAAAGCGTCGGGCCCTAGAGAAGATTGACTTGAAGTTTATTGATACAACTTCCAAATTTGGACATGGCCGCTTCCAGACTGTGGAGGAGAAGAAGGCTTTCATGGTAAGGACATTGATATCTTGGAATCCAGCTTGGTACTGCATACCTTTCTATTGTCTGGCTGCACAGGCATGCTTCTGTGTGAACTTGGACAGATGTGAGTGATTATGCAGTGTGGTTCCACAGTGAGGATTGCACTTACTAATGACTAAGGCTCGACAAATAATATAACCTACTTGCCTGTGGCGAGTAGATTGCAACCCAGAAGAGCCGGGTTGGGCTATCTGTGCATGTGCAGCTGGCGAGCGGGGCTCGCCATGGTTCAGCAAGCCCTACTAATGACCATTGAGTCACCTGCTGATGAGACACATGTGTAGTCATGAAGTACCATGATTTCAAAAACTAAACAAATCCAGATGAAAAATGAACCTCCCACAGGATTCTAAACTTCAAAATGCATGTGATTGTGAATCCATTTTATTTACATAGTCCTTGTTATCTAGAGCTCAGGGAGGCTTAGGTGCTATCACCACCCAGGTACATGGGCTTTTCGGTGATGAGGCCATGGAACTAACACTACAGTGTCTGACAGGCCATAAGGAGATGCACCAGTTGAGAACTGTCCCTGGATACAGTGCTCAGGTTGCTTCAGGAAGTGGAGCAAGCGCACACTGTTCTTGGCACATTGAGTATCCGATCTGTCCCTAGTGAGAAGCAGCAGATCTCTCATTCTTTCTTGAACCTTGAAAGTTTGTAATGTGGCAAACTAGTTTTGAGTACGATTTCATTCACCATGCAACATTGCGTGGTTTCAAAGGGAAGAGCTATGTATAAGCTGTTTAGCGCTTTCTCAAAGAGGAGATAGCTCTAAAATTAGCTTTGCCACTAGGTGGTGCCAGATTTTTATATTTAAATTGTTAATTTGAGATGGTGCATAGCAATGTAGCTTCACTAGCCTCTATTCTTATTTCTGCTGCTTGCTTCAAAGTTCAGTTACACAATTAAAAGCTAAGATCTGCACCACAGGTAGGCCTGTCTAATGTCTTTGGTAATTTTTAAAGCAAAAATAACCTTTCCACAATGAGCTATTGAGGATGGTGTAATCTACAGCACTGGTCAGTTCTGCTAGGTGACTGCTTGTTTTGTTTGTTTTTGCAGGGACCACTCAAGAAAGATCGTATCGCTAAAGAGGAGACAGCTTAACATCTGGTACAGCTCTGTGGTCTGCCTCTAACAAATAAAACTAGATATTTCAGAAATACCAACCCTCTTGCCTCTTATTTTGTGACTATCGGGGTAAAATCTGAAAGCTCTTGTGGGTCTTATTCCTGTTTAGCTTTAGTTGGGTCACCATGAGAATTTTGGGCTTCCTATCTTACCTTCAGCCCCAGGCTTTCTCTGTAATAAGGGTTCCTGTAGCACAATGAAAACTCACCTTCATGACTCACATCCCTTCTTGAGAATAAACAGGGCCACTGGAATACCAAAAACAAGAACCCTCATGCTCCAATGCACATGTCTTAAGAATATTCCATGATAACCCTCTTCAGGATTTCTGCACCTGCGACTATACTCTGCTGGAGACCAAAAACTGGACTAAATGTTACCCTGTTGTGATTTGGTATGGCAACTTCTTTAAATGTACTTGAAGAAAGTACCAATGAGACAGACCTGAACATTCAGTGTCTGCACTGTCTATGCAGAGCAAGCTCCCCTCACACCCAGTCCCCTCCACATTCTTCACACAGGTCCCACTCCCTGTTACACTTTAGGTTACACTTTAGTGGGGCCACAGCCAAAGTATTCTGGCTTCCCAGCAGTAATTGGTATGAGAGGGGAGAAACAGAACAAGCTTCTTGCTACCAGTCTCTTTACTAACAGGAGGGGAACCATGCTCCCCTGCATTGTAGAACAAGTAAGGAGATGCAAAACTTTTTTGAACTGATTAAAGCACTTGCTCATGTTGATTCCATGCTGGGTGTGCGCGCCACAGAGTTGCTGGAGATTTTTCCCCTGTGATATCCATAGGGCCAACCGGAGCACCGCTTGGTGTCCCTCCCATGCATATGTACTAATATGACTGATGCCAACAGTTCCATGTGGTCTGTTTTCTTACCACCAGTTTCTTGGGAAAGACGTTACTCTTGCAAGACTTTGCTAACAGCAGTTCAGATTCGGATTGCCAAGAATCTTGTCCTAGATAATCATCTGATCTTGTTCCAAGCAGGCTGAGATTCCACCTCTGACCATTTTGAGTCACCTAGCATGGGATGTACATGAGTAAGCACTCATGCAAAAATGGTTACTGGCCTTTCATAACAGAAGTCTAAACAAAGACTGGCTGGATGGCCTGCTACGTTCCACATCCTAATGACATAAAAACAAAACAGGGTATTTAAGGTGGATACTAAGTATTATCAGCTGTATTTAGCATAGACACTTGGCAATTTCTTTCCCCCTTTTTCTTTTTTCCTCTGCTATTTATTTGAAAACTACACTGACCCCTTAAACTCAATCTGAAGAAGTGCTGTGCTCATGAGACTATATTTTTTTGCTAGTCTAAGGTGCTGCAAGACTATTTTTTAAGTACTTCATGTTAGTCTGACTTCCTGGTAAACGTGTAACTGCGGGAATGTGGAAGGGGAAGAGAAACTAAGCTTTGGATCATTCTGACCCTCACGTAAAAACTAGCTGGTATTACTGTACTACTAAACATAACTCTTCTGCTCTTGTATAGACAGACTGTTCAGCCAGAATTCAGACAAATCTCTGCCTCTCTTCTGTCCCTCTTCCCTGCCCCATTTTCTTTGAAGTCTGGTAAAAGTACCAGACTTGATATGGAAGCACTTGGAACCTATCCAGATTTGTCACCTGCTATTGCACCTGAAGTAAGCACTGTTTATGGCATCCTAGTGACACTGGAAAGCACTAGAGCTTACAGTGATGATGGCTGTACAAGTACTCAGTGTCTGAGATCAATTCTCAGGTTTCAGAGCATAAAATGATCACTTTCAAAGGTCAGGTCAAAATTTTCCTCCCTGCCTGTAGCCCATATAGGAGAAATAAAAGGTTACTACTTCCTCCAAAGCATCCAACAGTGGCCGCACCCAAAGGTATTGCATTGGATGAAATCATTGGTTTAATCCTTTATTGCAGGGTCGTGAAACTTATTGACCCTCTGAGCCACATATGATAATCAGGGTGCAGTTGCTGGGGCTTGCGGTTTACTCTGAGCCACATATGATAATCATAAAGTTCGACAGGGTGCAGTTGCTGGGGCTTGCGGTTTCAACTTTGCAGGTGGTGTCTCTTTGGACTTGAATGGGGGAGGAGAGGGGGAAACATGAGGGAGAGCAGAAAACCTGGTCTGTGGCTAAAAACTTGCCACAGTTTGGGTAAGGTGACCAGTGAAAGCATAATAAAACGAGCTTTTTCTTTAAAAGAAAGACCCCTGCAATGTTGTTACAAATTCTATTTCAGGCTCTGGTGTCTGGAGAACAAATGAATGAAATTGACATCTGGGATTCAGTGAGAGCTCTGTAATTCAGTGAGAAGGGATTTCAAGTCAAACTTTTAACACCTATTTAATTTGATTAAAACAGTTTTGAAAGAAGGTCTCAAAGATTTAGCACCTACGGGGATGTACATGGGAGAGAGGCCATTATATAGTTGTGAGACTTCACTTCTACCAAAGTCAGGGAAGACTGGAGTTGACATCAAATTTCTATACATTCATGCTGCCTCAAGCAAAAAGCCCTAAGCCCAATTTTGAAACTCCCTTGTAAGCCTCTTCCTCGAACTGCAAATCACTTTATGGACAAAAGTGTAATGGACAGATATTGCCACAAGATGGTGCTCTTCCCTCTGGACCTGAATGATTATGTGCCTTATGATGGCATGTGTTAGAGCAGTTTGATGGTCAGGGAGGCTGTGGAGTGAATGTTCAGTCTGGGTGCATGTGTTCCTTACTGTAGCCTGGAGCAATGGGGTATTAGGGCTGAAAGGAAGCAGGTTGCAGGTTCATTAAACCTCTCTGCCTGATTCTCCCTCCACAAAATGGGGAGAAGATACTTTGATGCTTGTCATGATTTGAAGCAGTGGTTTTCCAAGGTGGGTTGTTTTTTCTTGCAGCCCAGTTAAAGAATATGTTGATGCCCATGACCTGGCATAATTATATCTTTTTACTAGAATGAGGGCTCCAAAATGAGGTGTTTGGGGTGCAAAGGGGGCTTTGACTGGGAGCTGCTGGAGCTAAGCCAGCATCCAAACCCTATGTACCAGCACCTTTCACCAGCCCCCTCAACCCAAAGGCATAGCAGGAGTGCTGAGGGCAAGCTCCCTGCCTATCCAGTCACCAAGGACTGTGCTGAGCCCCAGGAGCAGACATCAGCAGGTCTGGTTCCTAGGTGGAAGCACATAAGGGACTGTGCTGCTCCTACCTATAGCCATCTGCCCTCCCAGCTTTCATTGACCTCGAATTGGCCAATGGGAGTATGGAACCGATGCCTGAGATGGGCAAAGCCCCGTGGCCCTTTTACCTAGAAGCGGGACCTAGTGCTAGCCACATCCAGGGTACAGTGCAGTGCCAAGGCCAGGCAGGAAACCTGCCTTAGCACCTTGGCTGGTTACCCTACAGCAAGGTGATCCAGTGCCTGATACTCCATGACCCAAGACAGGTTTGCAACCCAAAATCTGAGAGCCACTGCTTTAAAGCTCTTTGGGATGCTCAGATGGGAGCTGCCTTAGAAGAGAAGGGTGATATAGAGGGAGAAGTTGCTGAGGTAAACTAGAATGTGCTACTTGAGAATTAAGTGGGCCAGCGGGCAGTCGGCTCTGTGTGCACAGGCTTGTCTAGCAGAGCGCCCTCCCTTAGCTCTTCCTCCTCCTGCAGTAGTCTGCATCCTGTGTTTAGAACACGGTCTCCATAGCAACAGGCAGCAATCAATTGAGGTCACAGACCAGGGCTTCTCTGGGCTCAGACTGGAGGAGACTTGGCTGTGAAGACAATAAATGGTTTCTAAAACCTAGAGCTCAGAGTTGGCAAGCAGGACAGAAACCACATTGGTTTTTATTTGTGTATGTGCTGCTCTCATGTGCAATGCTCTGTTATGCAAGTCCCTCTTAACAGAAATGATCACTTGGGCCTTCTGCAGCTCTCCAAGTACTTTACAGACACTAAACCTCTCCCCTGTGAAACAGGCAGGGGTTATCTCTATTTAATAGGAGTGGGAGGAGCTGAGAGAGCACTTCCTCCTACATAAATGACTTGCAAAAATCTGGAAAAACTTCAACAACAACAACTAGTCTAGCAGCACCTTAAAGACTAACAAAACATGTAACTGATATCATGAGCTTTCATGGGTACAACCCACTTCTTCTGAAGTACCCACGAAAGAATCATGATACCAGCTACATGTTTTGTTAGTCTTTAAGGTGCTGTTCGACTATTTGTTGTTTTTTAAGTTTTTCTAGTTACAGACTAACTTGGCCACCCCTCTGAAGCTTTTGCAAAACTTTGACAGTCTAGGAGGACAACCTGGCCTCATAACTGCCTGCCCTTTTCTTCAGTCCCTGGATATTGCTTCCCTCTGTTCAGGAGCTGTGGGAATCCAGACCCCAGGGCACAAGGCCTGGAATTTATGTTTCTCCTCTGAGGCTGGTGGAATCTGTAGTTCCAGAACACAAGTATTGGAATTTGTGCTACCTGCCTGCAGGCAGAATTCAGTGCAGAGCTTCTTGGGCCACTCCAGGCATGGGCTGCTGGTGCATTTTTATCATCTTGCTGTGGCACATTTGGTCAGGAGCTGCTTTTTTTTCTTAAGCTCTTCCTCTTAGAGATGAATCAGAAAGCACCTGCAAATCACTAAAGAAGACATTAAAAGCATTTGAGGATGCCTCAAGGGCAAGAGAGGGGTTCAGGTTTGAGGTCTTGGCTTCCACAATTAGCTTCACAAGTAGCCCAGCTGATGTTCTTGCCTCTGCCTTTGATCACAGAGACAGGTGAAGAGCTACAAATATGCTTAGTGTGAAAGAGGTGCTTATTAATATGCCCAAGGGGAATGAAGCTGGGTTCGTGCATGTGGCTGTTTTCTAGCACTGGCTTAACCCAAAATTTCTGTTTAACACAGTACTTTTTGTAATTTGTTTGGGAAGTCCTGTTCCTCTGTCCCCTTCACTGTTATATACAGTATGGCAGTCCCTAATGAGCTCAGGACCCCCATTATCACATTCACTGTTTCCTATCACACCCTAAACCCCTCTC